GTCACAGCATCTGCCCTCACCGTGAGACTGGGACTTCGGTGTTTTTGATGATCTTGGATATCTACTCCTTGAGGTACTCCTGTTGACTCTGTCCTCCTCACGGCCTTGGGCATACTATATCTGCAAGATGGCGAGTCGTGGTTTGTAAGTGTGGGGAGTTACATGTGCTCGTTGCCAATGTGTTGGTAGATCCGCTTCAACGATGAGTCAAGTGACATTCACGAGTGGCAGAAGCGATCTGATAACTTTGAAGCGTCCTTGACTTGGGTGTGGATGTCCTGGGCTACCATCGATGTTGCTGTGTGCTACTCCTATGGTCATGTGTACCGTCGGGCTGTGTACGTAGCCCTGGGTCTAGGCTGTGCCCACTTGACCATTTACAGGTATCGTAATCTGGCGTTGATGGTTACTGTCATTGCCCTTGGTGTGCCCGTACTGGTCCTGTTGCTCAATGGTAGTTGCTCTTACAACTGCGCCTTCAAGGTAATGACGCCCCTTCTTGTGGTTTTACTGTCTAATCAGTTGGTGTTCAGATCAATTGCAAGGATGAGGACTACTTTGCATTGAAGGATAGCTGGTTCAACTATTTCCTATTTAGTTATGAAGAGATAGGAGGCACTGAATGGTAGATAGAAATGGCTCTAGCTACCTGGTGGATACTGTCCCCGTCACAATGCTGCTTGAACGCTAGGTACAGTTCCGTGCCATCCAATGTATTACCAGTGGGTCTCCGTTGGGGCTTCTTGGCTCTGTTTTCGGGTATGACTCTATTGCATCATCTTTCCTATAGTATCATTATTCTTGGTCCCTGGGTGCAGAAAGTACTCCCCAGTTGGGGTTGGGGCGCTGAGGAAGGTGAGCCCTGGTGATGGTCTTTTTGTATTGGAATCGCATCTAATGTGATTCAGCATCTGCTGGGATGGTCAACGGAGGCGGCCGTTCATTCCAGTTGCCCAAGTTGCGAGTATTGGGCAAGAAAATTAAAAGGAGGCTAAGGCGTGGTATGGCCACAGATCGCTATGAGTAGCTGTGTAGGCTCGTGCCCTCAGGACGTAGTGCTATGACAAGTGGCAAGTCTAAGGTGGAGCGGCGCAACTCTTTAGCGTCTCTGGCTACTGATGCTGACTTTACTGGGATGGACTATGCCGAGGATCGATTTGCTGACATCCAGCACGTTGCGTGAGAAACTGTTATGGGGAGGGGGGATGCTGTCACGTTGTCGTTCACACTAAGTTGATCTATATTCGGATTGTTGTGGTACGTCCTACTACTTTTGTGTACGCTTTAGTGTAGGCGGGTGAGTGATAAGAATCATTCACGATAGTTCGGCTTATCCCTGATGGAACTTGAGACGATTTCCCATCTGGGTTGTCACAGTTTGATCCGGTAGCATACTCATAGATGGTTGGTAAAGGCGCCTTTGTGGTTTGCTATGAACTATGCAGTTCGAGTGGTCTGCCTCAGGTTTGAAGATGAAACGGTTACGCCGCCTTCGTCGAGCGGTGCTGCTGCTGCTGGACCCGTCCTTTTTGGTCGTCAAAATGAGCCTGAACGCATTTAAATTTAAAGTATTTCACCTACGACGTATATCCTCATCGGACATGCTCTTTTAATTATATCTGCCTCTGGCTCGACGTGACTGTACTACTCCCGGAAGTAGCCAGTTTTTGAAGTATTTTGTCTTCGGCTTGTGTTCTTCTCATGTTGGTCGGGGATGTGATCATAATGGGATGCTTTGGTTCCCTTTCCAGCAACGTCATCATCACAATGAGCGATCAAGAAGTCGGCAATGTCCCGCTTTACTCGACGTTTTATCTATGTAACTATGCCGTCTTTGTTATTATCATCTTTTTGCACGGATGTAAGCGGTTCTGAACAGGAGGGCTACACCACACGATGGT